CAACCATTTAAATTCTAGGTAAATTGCAAAAGATTTTGCATCCTTTGGCCCAGTCCTCCATTCAAAGGGAGACTGGGAGAGAAGGGCACCCCAGTTTCATCAGCAGTGTGTGAACTGGGCTAATGGATTTTATTTGTATTTTCTTTGATTTTTGTATTATGTTTTATTTATGTAAGCTGTCCCGAGGCTAAGCGATGGGACGGCATACAAATACTCTAAATAAATAAATAACGGAATGAGATTAAGGGCTGGAATTCAGCTTATTGGCCAGCGGGGGTATTCCAGTTTCAAGCCTGAGTTTTTGACAGGACTAGTGAGATCGGCGACCGCAGTGCATGATGTGGGCCATCGCTATTTCATGGGGAGGGTGCTAGCCGGGTAATGGGACAAGAAGGACGCTGTCCAGGTGTCGGCCCCACAAAAGCCCCCCGGTTTTAGCGCCGGCGGAATGAGCAGGCTGCAGTTACCACCAATGGCCACAGGGGGGCACCCGTGATTCCCCGCTGAGAGCTTAACTGGGATGCGGGGCGGGCTGCAGTTCACAGTAGCGCCACAGGGAGGCACCCCAGTCGCAGCGCTCTTAGCAAAGCACGTGCCCGGGATTGGCTCGCGTGGGCCACCGTAGTTTCACTGGTGCGGATCCCGGTGGGAACCGGAGGCTGGAATCCTGCTTCTTCGGCGCACGGAGACGCTCCGGTTTTCAGCGTCGGGTCTAAACTGGTTCCGCGGTTCCAGGAGGCTGCACTGCACGGGGTTGTCCTCGAACGGTGCCGGCCAAGTATTAACGGGGTTCAGGTTACTGGCCCCCCGCGGGGCCCCCCGGGTCCCGCTCAGGTCCTTCTCCGGATGAGTGGATCGTTGCGAGGCTTCCGAGGTTCGCGGGGGCGTGTGACCCGGGCCGATGGGCCAAGGAGGCTGGAGCGCAGCTCGCTGGCCCCCGAGCACCCGGTTCAGCGCGGGGGGGATCGGGATGCTGCGGGTCTCAGCTCGGCTCCCGGGGTCGGAAGGCACGGGACTGGCCCTGCAGGCGGGCGTCAGCTGGGCTCCGGGGGCGCGGCGGGGGGGGTTCAGGTCGCTGCCCCCCGAGACCACCCGCTTTGCGGCGCCGCTGCCTTCGTCTGCACTGCCGCGATCTCGGCGCCCGTGGGGGCCCAGTGCTGGCCACGGGAGGGCAGGCAACGCGCCGCCCTGGGCACCGCTGGGTTGGGGTAGGGCCAACCCAAGAGCGCCCCTTTGGCGGCGCTGATAACGGCGCTAGCGGGATTCGGGGAGTCGCAGTGCCCAGCATCGCCCACAGGAGGGCGCCCCAATTTCGGCGCTGGGCTCGCGGCGTCCGGAGGGTGCAGTGCTCGGCGCTGGGCACCTCAAGGCATCTCAGCTGCACTGACGGGGCGGCAACAGGGGTGAACTTCGGAGTGTTGCCCACTCGGGGCCGCCGCCGTTTGAGCGCCGTGGCCGCAGCTCGGCCGATCGGAGGCGGAGGCTGCAGTGCACGGGCGACGTGAGCGGGCACCCCGGATTCACCGGCACGGGATCAGGAGGCTGCAGTGTGCCGTGTTGACCACACGAGGGCGCCCCAGCCCATCAACTGAAAACGGGATCCTGAGGCTGCAGTTCACGCTATTCGTCACGGGGGGGCAGCACAGCGCCATGTCTGAGGGCTGCCTGAGGCTTGGCTTTCTGCGTGGGTTGCCCTTTGTTAAACTCTTACGCTTTGTAAATGTGTGCATTGACGATTAATGCAGGAGGAAGATTTTAAAAAGGAAGAAGAAAGAGGCTTCCGGTGCAATTCTGTGCATGCTCAGAAATAAAAAGTCTGCAACTTAATGTTTTCTCCAGACATTGATTTGGAATTTTTGTATCCCATCGTTTACAGCCTCGGGACGGCTCACATAAAATAAACAAACATAATACATAATAATGCAATTAAAAACCCAGAATCACCCTGGCTGCAAAATTAAAACCTATAGATATTATTATGAGTTGTTAAAATATTGTTTAAATAAAAAGGTTTTAGCCGGGCACCGAAAAGCAAATAACGATGGCGCCAGGCGGACCTCTCTGGGGAGCGCATTCCACAGGTGGGGCGCCACCACAGAGAAAGCCCTCCTCCGGGTACTTTGCTTCCTGATGTCTCTCATGGAGGGCTCCCGGAGTAGAGCCTCTGCTGCCGATCTCAAGGGGCGGGAGGGCAAATATGGCCGCAGGCGTTACTTCAGGTATCCAGGTCCCAAGACGTTAAGGGCTTTGTAGGTGATTACCAACACCTTGAATTGAGCCCAGACTTCAATGGGAAGCCAGTGAAGCTGGTAGAGGACTGGGGTTATGTGTGAATAACGCCCAGTCCCTGTCAGCAACCTGGCTGCTCTATTTTGCACCATCTGAAGTATCCGGACTGTCTTCAAGGGCAGCCCCACGTAGAGTGCGTTACAGAAATCCAACCGGGAAGTAACCAATGCATGTGTCACTGTCGCTAGGCAATCGTCCTCCAGGTAGGGATGCAGCTGATGGATTAACCGAAGCTGAAGGAAAGCGCTCCTTGCCTCTGCAGTCACCTGAGCTTCCAGGGACAGCTCCGAGTCGAGGAGCACTCCCAAGCTGCAGACCCTGTCCCTAAGAGGGAGTGCAACCCCATTCAGGACAAGGTCAAAGTCCCCTTCCTCGAAGCCCGAACCACCTACCAACAAGACCTCCGTCTTGTCTGGATTGAGCTTCAATTTATTGGCCCTCATCCAGCCCATTACCTCGGCCAGGCACTGGTTCAGTACAGCCTCTGCCTCACCTGGATTGGTTGAAAAAGAGAGGTAGAGCTGGGTATCATCAGCGTACTGATGACTCCGCAGCCCACACCTCCTGATGACCTCTCCCAGCGGTTTCATGTAGATATTAAATAGCAAGGGGGACAAAATGGATCCCTGCAGAACTCCATGGCATAGCTGCCATGGCGCAGAGCCACAGTCCCCCAGCACCACCTTCTGGAATCGGCCATTGAAACAGGAGCGGAACCACTGCAAGGCAGTGCCTCCGACCCCCAATCCCACAAGCCTATCCAGAAGGATACCATGGTCGATGGTATCGAAAGCCGCTGAGAGGTCCAGGAGAACCAACAGGGACGCACTCCCCCCGTCTCTCTCCCTGCACAGGTCATCGTACAGGGCAACCAAGGCAGATTCAGTACCGTACCCGGGTCTGAAGCCCGACTGAAATGGGTCCAGATAATTGTTGCAATCAATTGTTGAACCTCCCAGCAAGGCCAAGTTTCCCAGTTAAGCTGAACATCTTTAGACATTTTCATGACCAAAAGCCAGATATCCATGTGTTTTCTATTTCAAAATATTTTTATAACGTGCATAACAATCGCAGAATCAATATAACATATAAAACACTTCAACTGATGTAACATTAGTAAAAGTTTTGCAATACAATTTAAATAGCTACTGGAAACACTAGCAAAAAAGAAAAAAGGCACGAAAACGCACACAAAGAGCAAAGTGTTTGCTTTTCCCCTGCGTTCCACGTACACGTCTGCAAGCACGGTGCCCTTGCCGTGCATATCTCAAGACGGCCAGCTCTCTCTTTCCCGAGGCAGCCAAGGCTGCGCGACCGGTCCCTGCACGGCGGATGGGGTGGAATGCGCCACTCATGATGCAGGGATGCCTTAATCACACATCCTTGTTTGTGCAAGCTGCGCGAGGGAGGCTTTCCCGAAGCCAAATGTGCCGGGTTGAGGGCGGCTCCCGCAGCAGCTTGCATGTAGATGTGTCTCCCAGGACGTGCGGTTTGGCTGCAGCCGGCCCAGCTTTGATCGGTGCCCTTTCTGGGGACGGGGAATCGAGGCAGAGGCATCCTGCCGCTTTTGACCCAGGAGCGGGGGGCGGGGGGTCCCTGGCCCAGTGCCTGCACATGGCGCCCGGACCGGGGGTCTTGGAGAGGAGAGGGATCCCGTCACGTCGAGGCCTTGGCGTGTGACTCAAGTTCTGGCACGGAAAGCTGCTGGGAGCGTGCGGCACTCTAGGATGAACCCTTGCAAGGCGGCGTCGCAGAAAACCACAAATGATAACAGAGATAGTCAAAGCCAAAACAAAAGCGACCGATCCAGCTAAGTCCAAGCAGCCGCTCACCCGACCGCCATGCATCTCGCTCTTCCTTTCCCTCCCTCCCTTCCCTTTTTCCTTTTGCGAAGCTTTTTTAGGATGCAAATGCGCAGGCCGGGACCGTCTCGTTTTTGCTGATTATATGGAAGCCGTTCCAGAACCCTTTTTGTACGAGGTGCAGGATATAAAGCACATTTAACGTGGCAAGAGCGGATGCCGTGGCGAAGAAATGCTACCATTTTAAAGGTCTCGGTTGGAATGGTTGGTGCCCATTAGCTCACAAGCCCCTCCTGTACACTTTCAAAGAACAGCGGGTTCATCCCTCACAGGGATCTTGTGGAATCAGATGGGATGACTCCCGTACCCTGAGGTAGCTGCACCTAATAGGAATAATTTTATAAATCAAAACAGGTATGTGAGGGGGCGTCACACGGAGGTGGGGAGAGGCCTGTTCTCCCCTGCAGAGGAAGGCAGGATGTGCTACAACAGAGCCAAGCTCAGGGAGCCAAGGTTCAATTTAGATGCCAGGAAGCACTTCCTGACAGTCAGGACCCCGAGAGTGTGGAATGAGCTTCCACGGGAGGTGGTTGAGGCCCCATCGGTGAGAGTCTTCAAGGATAGGCTGGACATGCACATGGTGGGCATGTCGTGAGCCGGGGGTCAGACTAGATGTCCCGGGAGACCCCTTCCGACTCGCTCTGCTTCTATGTTTCTATTTCTGCTTTTTAGCCCTTTGGATGCATTTAAGCATCACAGTCAGCACAAGCCGCAGTGTTTAAATTCATGTTGTGACTCCGCCATAGTTCCAGCCTGCCCCTCTCCTGTGCTCAGGCCCTGCATCCAGGGCAGGCGGGTGAGACTGGAGGGGGTTTGGGGCGAGTCATACAGACAACAGACAAATGCGGATCATTCTTCCAGAAAATGGTTTATTGGAGCCTCTTTGGCTTGAGTGGGATCTGCGTAAGTTACAAGAAGAGCACCAAGTTACATCAGGACACCAAGACCAAGATGCAGAAACGAGACTTCGGCAGCGCAACATGCCAGCCAACCAGCCCTCTGGCTGCCCATGTCGCCTCTGCGGCTTCCAGGGGGCCAGGCAGGTGTCATCAAGCCCCATGTGCCACGCTTGGCCTGGCCCCCGTTGGCCGCTCCACCAAGCTGAGGCTGAGCAGAGGCGAGCCTCAGAAACACGTCGTCCATCTCCGACTTCTTCAGAATCTGAGTTCCTTGCTCCACATTCCCAGTTAAAACCCCCTGGCCCCGTTCAGCTCCCGGAGTCCCGCAGGGACGGCCCAGTTTTCGCAGCTGTTCTTGCTGGGCCTCACACAGCAGCCCACCAAGGAGAGGAAGACTTGGGCATTGGGAGGGGATGAGATGCTCTGCGCATCAGAGAAAGTGGTGCTGGCGGGGAGAGACACGTGCCCCGTCCTCTCAGACCCCAACAGGGAGGCCAGCACCATTTTCTGCTCCGGGCGCGGAGACACGACTCAGGCAGGAGCAGGGGCCGGCCGGGGCCACGCGGGCAGCTCTCCCTGCCCGCTCTTCTGGGAGCTCCGGTGTTGCCGGCCTGTGGCAGCTGCTGAGGAGGGGAAGTGCGCTGAAGCGCCGGCCTCAAGAAGGCTCCCCGAGGGGGAATCCGGCACACCGTGTGCCCAAAGCGCCCAGCTGGGGTGGGGGCCGCTGAGAAAGCAGCGAAGCCGCCCTCCGGCATGGGACAGGCCAGCCGGGGGGGGGCGGCGGGGGGGCGGGGCGTGCTCAAGCGAGGGGCAGAGTCCTTCGGATTCAGGAGGCTGGCTCCGTGGGGCGGACCGTCGGCGCCGGGCTGGCCACGGGCACTTGGGCCAGGTAGTTCCGGTTGAAGCAGCCGCCGCGAGCCTTGTCCTCCGTCTGGGAGCAGCACCTCTTCGGGTCCTTCCACGTGTTCCTCTGGGGGCCGCAGATGGTGGCGATGAATTCGGATTTCTGGGGAGAGGAATGAGCGCCGGTCAGTTTGGAGGGAGTGGCCTGTTGAGGCAGGAACGGTCCCCCTTTCCGCAGGGGCGGTGGCTGGGCGAGGCACGTGAGGGGGCCTTCGCCGCAGGACGCAGGATCCGGCCAAGCGAAATGATCGACTGTGTGCAGGGATTTTGCCCCCGGGGCGAAAGAGGCTTTGCAGATGCAAAGGAAGAGGGGCTAGCCCGGGATGGCCTGCCCGGAAAGGCCCCCTCGGGATCCCTCGCCTCGCTCCCCACGCAGCGGGTGGCTCACCGCGTCCTCGGCGCACTGAGTCCGCTCCTGGCCTTGCAGGGGGCAGCAGGGCTCCGTGATGTTCTGGATCAGCGCTGGGATGTTCTTCCTGGGGACGAGAGAGCAGGACGCGGGCTTGAGACGACAAGCAGCAGAGCCACGTGCCCCGCAGGCGACCGAAGCGGGGCAGACGCCCCAGGAGCCCGGCCCCGTGGCCACTCTTTGGGCAGAAGCGCCTCGTCTCCCTCCTCCTCACGCCCTCCCAGGCCCTGCACGGAAGCTCTTTTGCAGGAAGAACGGCGTCCTGCACACTGTGGGAGAGGAGGGTCCTGGCAAGCCAGCGGTGCCTGCTCGCCTGGCGTTGTCGGCGCTGGCGCTGTGACACCGCCATTGCCCGCCCTGAGCCCAGAATGGCTCTTTGCCATGCTGTGACAGTTTCCTTCCACAGGAACTGAGTTCGGCTGGGGAAAGGATAGCTGGAGTCTTGTGTTCGATTTTGGGCCCCTCATTACAAGAGGAATATCAACGGTTGGAATCGGTACTAGGAGGGTGGCTGGTTTGCAGGGTAAGCCATGTGAGGCGAGACTGAGGGAACTGGGTCTCTTCAGCCTGGAGAAGAGGAGACTCCGAGGGGATCTGTTGGCAACATGCAGGTATGTGAGGGGGTGTCACACGGAGGTGGGTAGGGACCTGTTTTTCCCTGCAGAGGGAGGCAGGACAGGTTCCAATGGAGCAACGCTCAGGGAACCAAGATTTAGGGTGGCTGCCAGGAAGTGCTTCCTGACAGGACCCTGGGGCATGGAGTGGGCTTCCACGGGAGGTTGTTGAGGCCCCATCGGTGCGGGTGTTCAAGGACAGGCTGGACGTCCACATGGTGGGCATGTCGTGAGTGGAGCCGGCTGGAGCTGGGGTCAGACTAGATGGCCCGGGAGGCCCCTCCTGGCTCGCCCTGTTTCTGTGCTTCTGTGACTTACTGCTTGGTCAGAAGCGTGAACTGCCCGCAGAGCGAGTCCAGGAGCTCTGGGGTGACCTCGGCCAGGCTGAGCACGCGGATCTCCTTGTCATACAGCGGGTACGGGGCATCGGAGGCGAAGCAGCGGTAGTCGGGCTCCCCGGTCTCCTTGTTGCAGCAGTAGTGGCGCCGGTCCTTCACGGAGAACTCCTGCCGGCAGTACTGCACCAGGACCCGCTCCCACTGCGGAGGAAGCGCACACGCCTCACGTGAGACCAGGTGAGCGAGCGGGAGCAGCCGGCGGGCCGGGGCAGAGGGTGGAGGCATGGGGCGCAGAGCCGGGCTTGCGGGAGGGGGGCAGTGGGGCCTTTGCGCAGCCGCTCCCCGAACCCCATCCGGGGCTTAGCCGCGAGTCCTGCGGGAGCTGCGGGGGCGGATCCTCCCAGCCCACGTTCCCGGGTGCGCTCTTCGATGCCGCGTGGGCTTGGGCAGCTTGACCCCGAGCTGGCACTGCGGGCCCGGCTCTGCAGCAGGCGTGGGGGAGCACAGCCGGGCCCCGCCGCCTGCCCGTCGGGCCCTCCGCGGAGTAGCTGCAGAGACGGCCGGCGGAGACCCCGCGGGTGCACGCTAGGGGGATGCCAGAAGCCCCCAGGAGAAGGCTGTGGGGACAGGAAGCTCTGCCCTGGGGGGTGCCTGAGCCCCCGGACCGCTCTGTGCCCATTGCAAGGGGATAGTCCCCCGCGAGAAAAATGCAACCTGTTCCACTTAGAAAACCAGAAACGCGGCTCTGAAGGCCAGGGGGGCACATCCTGCAAATGCCCCCCTCCAGTGGCACAGCGCCTCGCAAACGGCGCCGACGGCAGAATCCCCACAAACGCAGGAAGGCGCTCGGGGCCTGGGGCTCAGGGCACTCTCTCCCTGCCACCAACTTCCAGCCACGGGGAGGACGTGGCCCGCGCAGGATCAGCGTCTCGAGCGGAAATCAAGCCACGGTGGGGAGACCGGCACCTGTTGAATGGTGGGCTGACCGTTCACCGTTTACAGCAGCCTTCTCCGACCCGGCACCCTCCAGATACATCGCACTACAACACCCATCATTGCCCGGCCACCACCACAGGGTTGAAAGAGTCGGAACGAGAGCAAGGCCGGCGGCAGGAGGCGTCCCGCTCCCAAGGTGCTCCGGAGCCGAGGAGGTTCAGAGGCGCGTGCAGAAGGCCCACCACCAGCGGAGGCTCGCGGAGGGCGAGAGAGGAGGTGCCCGGCGGGCAGGACGCGGCGAGGCTGGTCCCGCTCCGCCGCGTCCTCCGGCCCACTCACCGCTTGGTGGGCGCAGCCAGCGTCCTCCGGGCGGCAACATTTCTTGAATGCGCTCTCCATGCGGTTCACGGCCCGGGCCTGTCGCACGAACCAGCCAAAGTACGACTTCGGGAGGCTGCTGGCCGGGTAGGTGGGCCGGAACCTGCGCAGCTTGCAAAGGTTCCTGATGTTGGCGCCGGAGGGCTCGCCGGGAGGGAAGGAGAGGGCCGCCCCGCACCGGGAGGGGTCGGGGCAGCCCCTGGACTTCTTCTTCGCGAAGTCGTACTCTGGGAAGGGGGCCTCGTCCGCGAAGCAGCGCTCCCTGCCCGCGCCGCTCTGCTTGCAGCAGTGGTACGGCCGGGTCTTGGTCGCGTACTCGGCCTTGCAGAACTGCTCCAGGACGGCCAGCCACTGAAGGCGGGATGGGAGAGACGGGCGGTGAATGGGGCGGCCCGGGCCCAACACAGAGACCAGGCCGCGGCCGGTGCCAGCGGGTCAGGCGTGGGACCTCTGAGCCACGTGCAGAGCACCCGCCTTCCCTCCTTGAGAGCCCACGGCACGCTCCTCAGCACTTCCAGTTAGAGAAGAGACTTCTGGTTCCGACTGGGAGAAGCAGAACGTCTCGGGGTCGGGGCCTGAGCTGGCCTTCCCTGTCCCAGAGGCTGGACTTTGCGCCGCCCGGCGGGGCGTCTCCTCCTGCAGCCTCAGAGTGTGCGGGACACACCGCGCAAGGGTGCTGCCGGTCGTGGAGGAGGCCGCGCAAGGCACACCGGCCGGACCGAGCTCGCCCCAGCACGTCCGAGCCACGTGCCCGCGAAAGGGCCCGCCTGGCTGCATCGGAGCCGTGGGCCCCCGAGCGACCCGGCCACGGGGCCCGGCCACACCGCCCATTCACGCCTCCCGCATGGTGACGACCCAGATCCACCCAGGAAAACATGGCCAGGCTCAAGGGCTGGTTAAAGCAGGGGGAGAGCAGCTGGTGTTCGATCCCGGTGGGTTGTGTAAGAGACGCCCATGGCGAGGAGAACACGCCTGCCCTCCCGTTGCTCAGACTGTGCGTGACAAGGGGCTGCACTGTCCCCACCGGTGAGGATCCGCCACACGGCCATGGCCTCCAGGGGAGGCTGCAAGACGGAGCCAGGCGCTTCTGTCGGGGGAAAGCAGAGCCTAGCGAGACGAGCTTCCGATCCAGCTTTGCACGTGTGGAGTTTGGGCGGGGCAGGGACGGCGGGTGCCCCGGTGCCCACCCCAAGACCCTCGAGTCCCTCACTCAGCTTCCTCACCCACGCGGCAGCCCCGACGAGGGAGGACGGGCTGCGGGGGCTGCGAGCGGCCCGCAGAGGTGCTCCCCATGTCGCTGAGGGCGGGCAGCGCAGCCCCCGCCGAACCCTGGAGGGCCCGGGGGACCACGCTCTGCCACGTCGCCCGGACACATGTCCGGAGGGAAGCCAAGCGCGGCTCCCCTCCTGGCCGGCCCTCGGAGCAGCACCCGGGCTCCACGAGGCGCGGCGCCTGCAGGAGGCCGGCCGGGGCCCAGGCGGAGGCCAGACTCACCACGCCGCTGCAGCAGGGCACCTTCTCGTCCTCGGGGCGCTGGCAGCACTGCTGGACGCCCTCCTCCAGGCTGTTGAGCGCTGCCCCCTGGCGGGCGAGGTGGCTGTAGCTGGTCTGGGGCAGATTCCACGGGCCGTAGGACAGCTTCCTCCTCCCGGCGGCGCAGATCTTGCCGATGTTGCCGGCCGTGGGGCGGGCGGGCGGGAACTCCTCCAGGTTGGGGAGGGGAGGCATCCGGCTGCAGCGGGGGCCACCGGTGCAAGCGGGCCGCCTGCCCCGGGGGCTGAAGGGGGCTGAGAGCTGGGGGTCGCCCTGGACCAGGAATGGCACGTCAAGCTCTGGAAGAATGGAAAGAGGGGAGGCTTAACCTCGCCGGCTGTCCAAGATGAGACATGCCGGGCGGGAGCGCAGCTTTGCTTTCCTCTTGTGCTCTGACGTTTCAGAGTGCCAGGCCGACCCATCGTGGCCTTTTCTTCCTCCTTGGATACCCCAGACCTCCCGGGTACCCTGCTCTATCCGCATGCCTGCGTGACGCTCTGTCTCGCCTTCTTTGCTTCTCCCCTCCTTCCCCAGCTTGGAGTCTCGGCTTCTCGCTGCCTGGGCACAGACCACGCCGTAACCGGCACTCGAGGGCTGAGCGTGGGCTGCGGCAGAAAGGCGGGTGAACTCGGCTCGGCGTGCGGAGAACAGCCCTCTGCACAGGCCCGGGTTCTCGCCCTGGGTCGCCCGGATCAACAAGCACAGCGACCCACAGTTCCACGGCCGCTCCCACGCGACCTGCACTCTGTCCCTGGCTTGGGTCACCGTCAAGTCTGCCTCCGTCCCCCCTCGCAGTTGCCCTCCTTTCCACCTGCCCGGCAGGCTGCCAGGAGAGGGGCAGAGGCTCTGGCCAGGGGTCTACCTAATCCCTCACGGAGAGCCACGCAAAATCGTCTGCGAAGCACTCGTTAACCAGCCTGGCCGTGCAGGATCCTTCCGGCCACACAATGCGAGAGAAAGCTGGCCTCTCCGTCTCCCTCAGAGCAAGCGTGTTCCACCCAGGGGCCCAATTCCATTGCAGAGAAACTCTGGGGTTAGACTCCAGTGGGGGGGGGGGGGGGGCAAGAGGGGTGGGGCAGATGCAACCGGTACTTTGCAGCTCAATGCCCCACCTGCCAGTCCCCGTCCCCAGGCAAACGCTGCCTCGGAAGCGGGACATTTCTGCCATGGCACCAAATGGCCGGCCCTCGGGAGACGCGGCGACGGCCTTCCGGGCCAAGCAGGGGCCCCGGGAGGCCTGGACCTGGCCTACCAACTGGGGTTCTGCCCATGTGTGTGTCCAAGGGAGACTCTGAACCAGTGTTTCCCAGGGAAGCCGCCCCCCCAGCCCGGGGTCAAAGTGCAATGGACCCCCGCTCTCACCAGCCAGTTCATCGTCGATCGGCCGCTGAGGCAGGAACTCGGGTGGGATGCCCTCGAGGTCGATCTCGTGCTGAGAAATGTCTCCGGAGGGCGGGGGAGGCGGCAGCTCGTGGTCCTCGCCTAGAGGGACGGATCCGAGAAGAGGAGGAAGAGCGCTTCAGAGTCATGCTCCCTGTCATTCCCGTCATTCCACGACAGTTTCCCAAGGAAGCCCCAGTCCTTTGTCGCCTCCCACGGGGAAGGAAAGGGCCAACGCTGGCACCGCCCTCCCTTTGGCAAGGGCACCCCCGAAGCTCTCGAGACAAAGCCCTTCCTGCGCCGCGTAATGGCTGCTCATCGGCAGAGCCCGGAAGGTGAATAAGAGCTGGCACAAGAACCTGCCCTGCACCTCCGACAGGTTCACTTCCTTCCTTGGAGGAAGATGCAGGATGCTGCTGGGCGTCTGATGCCTGCCTGGCATTCGCCACCTCACCGCGAGGCTATGCAGCTCGTGCGACGGGGAAGCCTCGCGCTTCCAAGTCCCTTGGCAGGGCCCAGCCCGAGCCCGGCCACCACAGCCCGGGAACCTGCCCCTGGGAGCCCCAGCAGATGCAAGAGCCACCAGCAGTCCTGCTCAGTTGGTCCAGGGGGAACTAGGGGGAGGACCCAACCAGCCTGCGCTTTTCAGGCCCTCCAAGCTGCCAGTGAGGGAAGGGCGGACCGCTTTCCCTCTCTGCTTGAAATGTAGGGCCAGCGGGTCACACGGGGCCCCCCAGAAGTTGGACTGCTCCCACCCGCTCTAGCCAGCATATCCGGAGTGCAGAGGATCACCCCACATGGGCTGGCATTGCAGTCCAGCTTGGGGGGGGCACAACTGGTCACCCTTGGTTTAGGGGGCCATTCCTAGTGCGTTCTGGGAAAACAGAGCCACTGGAGATGGCTCTGCAGCCTGGAGATTTGGGAGAAATTCAAGAGTGATCCCGGACTTTGCTCAGCAGACTCCCGGTGAAGTCCAGCACACGTTGTCTGACAAAAATCTACATTAGTCACTGTTTTAGAGTTTGCCTTTTGCATGAAACCTTGGCCAGCTAGAATGCAAACCAAGTTAGAACTAATTTTCCCAGGATAAGGGGATTATTTACAAGGAACATCAAAACATTGCAAAACAGTCTGGCATAAAGAAAGCAAAAATAAATTAAATCCACCATCTCTGGACAACATGCAAAGAAGCAAAAGTCATTCAGGCTGTTTCTGAAGTACAGCTTTTTCCAGTTAAAACGAAGTCCAGCATGCAGAGGGGAGCGAGCTGAGACTTTGTGGTTTTGAAAGTAATAATTCTAAATTTGGCAAAGCGTTTGGCTACATCTGCAAACATCTGGTGTTTGGAGGCAGATGGCGAGAAACTGTTTGGCAAACGCAGGCCCGCCCCGCGGAGACAGCGGGCAGGAAGCTTGGTATCCCGTCGAAAGGCCGGCAGGCGCCCGAGCGCGGCTCCGAAGGGGCCCCGCTCCGCGGCGCGCAGGCAGCTTGGCAGCCCGGCGCTTCGGGGAGCCCGCGCTGAAACGCCGACGCGCCCCACCTGCCGCCCATCCGCTCAGACCCTCGCACGGCTGCCGGGGGGCGCGCGGAGCCGGCAGCTGGGGGCCAAAAGCGGGCGAGGGGGGTTCAAAGCAGGAGGGGCGCTAGCGAGCGCTGCAGCCCCGGCCTGCGCACGGACCCCCGCTGCCCCGCTGCGTGGCGGAGCGGCGGAAACAGGGGAGCGCCCGGACCCCAGCCGCGGGCGCGCAAGGCCGGGCGCTGCTGCCGGCTACGCTGGCGGGGCGAGCGGGGACGGGGGGCCAAAGCCCCCGCGGAGCGTCACCCGGGTCTGGGCAGCGCGGCGCTGCCCGTCCGGAGAACCTCCCCCGCCGCAAGAACGGAGGGCGGCCCGCCGCGGGGGTCCCCGACCCGTCCCCACCCGGTCCCCGCGCCGGACACCGACCTTTGGGGAGCGCGGAGGCCTCGCCCGCCAGGGCCAGCAGGGCGGCCAGGGCGGCCAGGAGCGCGCTGCCTGCCATCGTGCGCCGCCGGGTCTCCGCTGGGATCGCGCTGCAGCTGCGCTTCGGGCTCGGCGGCGGCAGCGGCTGCTGTTCCTGCTCCTGCCCGCGCCGCGCTCCTTTATAGGGCCGCGCCGCTCGCCGCGCCTGAGTCACCGCCCGGCGCGCCCCGCCAGGAGCCGCACCGCCTCCCGGAAACTCCGCCCGGCGCCCCCGAAAGCCGCTCGCCAGCCGGGCCGCCCCCCGGGCTGGGGGAGCGAGGAGGCGCCGCCCGGCACACGCACCCGCGCCCAGCGGGGCCTCTGCCCGCTGCTCGGCCCTTGCACCAGGGGACTGGGCTTTGCGATCCCCGGGAAGCCCCCTCCCTCCCATTCCCCCGCGGGGCTTCTGCGACTCCGAGACGCACGAAGATGTTTCGCAATCCCTGGGAAGGGCACTTTCGCCGCTCTGATGTTCATACTACATCATTTGGTGGCGGGAGGGGGAGAGCGCTGCATCTGCTTTTTTGGGACGAAATAGGCAGCAAAAAGAGCGCCGCTAGCACACCCTCCTGTGCGGTCCCCACGTTTAGCTTTGCACGCCGAAAGCACTAATCCCGCTTGGATTAAACCCTGTGAAAAGCGCCCAGTCCGTTGGCAGCAAAATGTCAACACCGTTTCACAAAGAGTCAGACTCAGCAAGACTGCGATCTGGGCTGAAAGCCATGCCGGCCTTCTAGCGAGCCTGCTAGTCACCTTTTCCTAACAAAACCAGAAGGAAGATCAACAAGAGAACTACAACCCAAAGGGTGGCTTTTGGGAGATTAGGCAGCTCGCCAGGGCTTGGTGCAGGGCAGCTGGGCTGGCCCAGGGAGCGCTCGTTGCCTCGCAAATTCAAGGAAACTCCCCTCCTCGGGAGAATCTTTCCTCTCCCCTCCTGGTATCTCCAGGCTCACAGCAAAGCTTCTCTCTGAGCAGAGGCTGGATCAGCAGAGCGGTTGGCTAAAGAAGGGGTTCCCGCCGCCTCCCGTCCAAGGACCCCAGCCGAAATCTGTCGCATCACCGCCCCTGGAGGAGCCGGCTTTTGATTCTAACTTTTTAACAGAAGACACAAATCTGGTTTTATGCACAGGGGCTTCATATCCCCTCCCCACCCATCAAAACTTTCTGTCTCCATCCCCCCCCCCTTCGCCAAAATCCAACACCCTCCTCTCTCTTGAGTGCACTTTGCCCCTTAAATATAAGGGTTTCTCCCCAGGGTGAGCATGAGCCCCAGGACTTGCAGTGCTGACAAAATTTTTGCTTTTCTTTTGTGTTTTATCACCCAGCCACTTGCTCTTAAAGCTTTCTGGGAATGTGATCGGGCAGAGATGCTCAGAACTAAACTGCCCGGGGTTCCTTGAGAAAAGGGGGCAACTGGTAAATTTGTAAGGTCAACAGAAACCTTGTGACAAAGCAATGTGACTATTTTCTTGCATTTTACAAATTATTCTTCCCGAGCAAGGAAGCTGGGGGCAGAATTAAACTCAGAGTTACCCCACAGAGAGGGAGGGACATGTTGGAGCTTAGGGCTTTTTGTGCTTAAACATGCCAAGTTACTAGCTCTTAAGGTCAACATAATCGTCTGGAATAATCAGTGATGATGAGGAGTGACATCCCTGCAGCCAGAAACGGATGTTAAGATTTCCGATGGTCAGTTCTCTGAATTGCTCTTTCGCCCACTAGTGGAAGTAGAAAGAAATTATGACAGCAGCTCCTTTGACTACAGGAGGTGAGAGAACCAGCTTCTCATGGCCCTAAACTGGGATTCCTTCCAAGCGCAAGGTAGACAAGCTAAATCTGATGGCAAATCCCCGTTTTTGCATCAACCGCCAACAACAGGAGTACAAATAAAGCACAGACATCTTTGCTTACAGAGCTTGGCTGTGTCAAGAGCAGGATGGATGGACTTTTAACTAGAGGGGACTTTTTGCTGCTCTAGAAAGGAGAATTTAATGAAGAGAATTAATTAATTTTGACTAGTGTGCAGGGCCAAGGACAGGCCTGTCAGGAGCTAAAAGTTGAGGAATTGAAGACCAAAAAAAAAAAAAAAAAAGGCCAGTAAAATTAATTATTGCATTTCACTGCACTGAGCTGGATTTTTCACCTCAGGCAAACATGTTTTAGCCTTGAACTGAGTGTGGTCTTTTTTCACCCTGTGACCCCACCAAATGGAAGCTGAAGGAGGGTAAGGAAAAAAATGGAAGGCGGTATTATTGGGCAAGGAAGCAGGTCTGAACACCTGGCTTAGAACAGGTATTGTGACGGAGTTGTTGAAATGCGGTTTGCCCACTGGGGCAAGATGCCATCAGAACAGCGGCTTCCCAGGCAGCGGCGCTGACTTCCTGCCCCGCACGCTCCCATCTGGGACCCCGGGACCCGTCCTCCAGGCGCTCCCTGTTCTTTCTGGAGTCACGCTATCTTCACAATGCCCCATCGGGCAGGCCCACCTGCCTAATGAGCAAGAGGTGCACCTGGGGTCTCCCTTCTCTGCCTGAGCACCTCCTCTGTGCATGCAGGAGCATCAGCCAGTTCAGCACCGGTTTAGAAGTAAAGAAGTTTTTGTTGAACTTGCCCTCGAAAGGAGAGGAAAAGAACTTGCAAAATGCAGCTTGGAACAGCTGTTTCCAACTGGATTCCGGCCAGTTAGTTGGACTACAAATCCCACCATCAGTGACCATCAGGCATGTTGACTGGGGTGGGTGGGAATCGTGGTCCAAAGCATCTACTGGGAAGGGACTGGCTGAGAGGGGCCGCCTCACTAGCTGGAGAACTGGGCCATCCGCTGTGCTGATGTGTGTGCGGGAGGGACCGAGGGGCTTTTGTCCCCACTGGACTTCTCCGGATCCCAGGGGAAGGAGCTGAGGAGGAGAGAGAGCCCACCAGCAAGGTGGAACTGAGGAGGCACCACCGAGAGCAGGAACTGCCCCCTCTGGAGGGACTGAGCCTCAGACGTTCTGGCCCACAGCTCCCGTTATCCTTGCTTGGCGCAAGAGGGCTGGTAGCTGCGGATCCAGAAATTCATGCATGCAAACCTAAGGCAAATTCACTCTCAACTCGCCTCATTTCCAGAGCGTGCAAAGAGGAACGTTTCTGGAGTCAGGCACCCTGTGGATTGCACCCTGAACACACAGACCCCACAAGGGACGGTGCTCTGGGCAGATCCAGCCGGCCTGGCTTCCTTCTCCCCCAGCAAGCAAGCGTGCAAGCAATTTTAACTTCAATAGCAGCTGGTGGAAAGAGCACAAGTCAGCGCAATTTCGGGAAGGGAAAGAGCTAGCGATGATTCAGCAGAGAAGCAACCCCAACCCGTAGAAGGACCGATGAGACAGACACCCTCTGACACACAGACCAGCACTTGCTCTAGGTTTCCTTGAAGAAGCGATTATCCGAGATGATTGGCACCATCTTGGAAAAGGTATCTTCTGTTCCAAAAACGGAGCTCATGCACAATCTGAGCGAGCCAGTTGGTGGCTCCAGGCAGATTTCTGTAACTCTATTATTTATTTATTTAGCTGTTCTGCTTCTGTATCACCCAAGTTTAATGCTTTGGCAGAAATTGAGGAGAGAATGTTTCCCCACTGCCATGTCGCAACGTGGGCAAATACCACACCTGCAAGATTTCTTTTTCTTCCTGGCAGGTGTCTGTAGCAGGCACAGGAACCAGGCCAGAAACCTGCACTCCCAAGTCAGCTGCCACCACATCTTATACACATGTAACCTTATCCACACCAACTAACATCTGTTCCCTGCCAGGCACTCTTTCCAAAAGCCATGTACAGACCTGGAATACATTGAAATAGCTACAAAACAGTCCAGGACACTAACCAACTCATTGGCTCTATGCCCAGAAGAACAGAAACTTAGCATTCCAAGAGAAACTATTCCCGATTTTGTTGCTCATTCATGGAGCTTCCTTCGTAGCCTAGACTTGCCCTGCTTCTACATCTCTTATCTCCGACCTCCTTCTCCGCCCCACTTCTCCACAGAACCCTGCTATCCCATTTTAAGCTGCCAAGAGGCCCTGTTGCTTCTGCAGCAATGGTCTAACACAGTTAAGTTCTGTGGAACTTATAGGTTGCCTGCTTGTCACATTGTGCATTTCAAGATTCTAGTCCTCACTGTGCAAACTCTGCCTTTCTTTCCACCTCTGCTCATTATGAGCCCACATGTGCTATTGGCACTGACTGGATTAAGGTTTTGCGCTGATAATACTACACCACTGCTCTTCTCCTTTGGATATGTTTTAGAACATGGTCTGGGCCTCAGAAAAGTGGCAGCGGCAAGCTGGGAAAAGCTGGCCGTGGGGCTCTGTAGTTGTCCAACAGCCCCACTGCGGGTGTGGGTTCCGACAGATGAGAAACTGCCGCTTGGGGGCACAGGATGGAGCATTCCTGTAGGAGCACCGCAGGCGTCTTGTGGTGTGACACAGAAAGTCTCTCTCCCGCACAATTCTCACCAAAACCAGTGGGAGCCGCACAGGAGCTCAACCGCAGCACTTCCCAGACTCCTCAGCGCCAGATGCTCCCACCGACCCTAATTCGGAGCAAAGAGCCAGCTTCGCAAAGACGCCAAGAAGACCCTTTGCATTCCTCCACGCAGGCGATGGGGGCTTTGCAGTCTGGGAGACATTGGGGGCAGGGTGCATTTTTCTGCTCCCCACCGCGAGCCTTAACATCGAGGTGCTACTTGTCCCACGGTGCTAAAGGAGTCCGCCAGCTGGCTGGTGGCAAAAAGCAAAGCGTCCTGGCACGACAGAAAAGCCTAACAAGTGTGCCTTTCTGTGCCAGTCCCTCCGAGGAGCATGGCGGAAGTCGCTCTGGGATGTCCCCAGAACGCCCTCGTTGTTCAGTGTTCGGTGCAGCAGCCGGCGGGCCTGCCAAGCCCCTTGCAAAAGCCCTCTGAGCCAGAGGACACACTGAGTCTCCCTGCTTCCACCACCGCCGCCGGCACGCCACTTGCCCAGCACCGGGGCAGGGGGGAGAGGCCCCCTCTGGCAGGTCCCAGGTGGAAGCACGCGGAGCGGCATCGTCAAATGATCTGCACCGCTTTTGTCAACGTT